ATCTAATTGTTATAAAAAACATGAATAAGCATGATACATTTCAAGTTATTTACTTCTGATGAAAGTTTTTTTGAAGGAATATCTGTTGCATAGCTTAATTTTACTCTTTCAAATAATGCTAATGCAAGTGGAACAGTGAATGTAGGATTAAGACTCTGCCAAAAGAGATAAAATGACATTAATAATAATCTATAATGCTGTACAGTACTTTAACTGCTTGATCTAGTTCATCAAATTCTCCTGTTGTAGCTCTACTAATGGCAGATCTGATATCCTGATAAGTAGGATTGTATACAGCAACAAAGTCAATAAATTCTTCATCCTGTAAGTAGATTCAAATCAATTTTTAAAAAATGATGAGTGTTACTTTAAAGTTTTCAGATGGCAAAATCCACTTAAAATAATTATTTCTAAATATTCTCATCAATGATATGCTGCCAAAAGTTCTTATAATGTAGCGAATGAGATACCAAAATGGTCCTTCTGTAGTTTGATCATCATTAAGATCATCAGACAGACAGTAGCTTTGAGCTTCATCAAAAAGGTAAATAACGTCAGGATCAGCTTCCATATAAAAGATTGATTCATGTATTTTTTTTGCTAAAACTTCAAGGCCTTTTGTAAACTTTGCAACTGCCAACCAGCATTGTGGTGACAATGCTCCATCATTTTTACACTGCATCAACAATCTATGTCCTTCACCTAACAAACTATCAGCAACGGAAGTCATTTTTTCACTCTGCATTGATACACTAAATTTAGTCTATAAATCAGAAAAGTAGGCATTATTAGTTACAAATAAAATTATAATAAATCAGTAATTACATCTTTTTACCTTTGTGTTTGCTAGGAATATTCCAATAAAGCTTTGAGTGTTTGGTGAACTGATTTTTCCCATAATATTTGTCAGTTTACTTTGTATCTTGTTATACCTAAAATATTTTACATTAAGTCACAGACAAAATTGCAAAATTACTCATATTGCATGATTAGTTTAATTGTAAAGGACTGTAAATAAGTCATTTCTTCCACATGGTTCTGTAAATATGTACACAGCTTTTTATCTTTCACATTTTGAGTAGTTGAGAATACAGCCTGAATTAAAGTGTCAATCAATTCTTCATCATAAATATCTCCATCAATGCAAAGTGTAGACAGCACTTTTAAGAAGAAAGACCAACAGCTTATTTTGATCATCTGTTGTTTTGCTACTTCCCTAAATAGAAGTCAAGTTAAGAGGTTTGTCATTAAAATGAATGATATCTTACAATTTCTTTAATTCTTTCTTAATTTCAGAAAGTAAAAATGCAACAATGTTAAGAGCATTAGAATCTTCAAAATCATTAATTTTTGCTGAAACCTATATTTTAGTTACATGCATAATTGGGTCATTTTTTATCGAAAATTTGAAATTGACCTTCTCAATTCTTCTAGCAAAAATTATTGTTTCTTTTTGATTTTGCAGTACAACATACTCAAAGAACAGCTTCATCACACAAACCCATTGCCATTTTAGGCTAAATAGTATATAATTATTTTGTTCAAGTATCTTTAAAACTTACAATACTTTTGGAGGTATGTCACACTCTTCAACAATGCTAAAAATGATTCTATGAGACTCATACTGTTTTTGCATCCATCCTTGTAATGATACTTCTTTTTTACTCATTAGTGGAACTTTTACGTCTAAGAAAGGGCTATCTAACACTATTTCCAATGCCTCAACTAATAATACATGTATCTACAAAAAATAAATAGTTTTTACAAATTTGCATTACTGCCCCCCCCCAATTTATGCACCTCTTGATAAATAACTACATGTATCAGTTTAGATAGGAACAATTATTAAATGCTTTAGGAGGTGCTTGTTTAGAGAGAGGTACATAGCAAAGTATGCAATACGCCTGTAAACAATGGGAATTTATAATTACAATCCACTTCTCAAAAATAATGATTTTGACCAGGAAGTGCACTAGTCTCGCGAGCCAGCATTCCCCAGCCTAGTCATTGGGTTCACCCCAATGACCATAGGCTAGGAATGGTTTGGCTTGCGAGACTAGAGGTGCATTCAATAGAAATTTATTATTGTGAAAGCCATGTATGAGGTGCAATAATCAGGGCAAGTAGTTATTTAATAACTTTACTTCAATATTTGAATCATTTGGCTTTGATTTCATCTTATGAACAGTAGATGGTACTAGCACTATAAGTTCAGAAAACAAATCAAAAAATGACTTGTTTTCAGAATAAATCTTTTGTACATTAACAACTATTTGAAACAGTGAAGTGACATTAAGCTCATTAGAAAAAGGTATTGCCAGCATAGCAATCATACACTTTTCCAGCATCTATAAAAAGAATTGTTACCAAAATTAATTATTATTTAATTTTTACTGCATAATAGTCTTTCTCCAGTGGCTGTCCTTTAGTGTTCAAAAGATGAACAAAGTCATGCACATAAAACCTTGCAAGGGAGCTAATAGTAGTTTCTGGTAAGCTTTCAAAACTTTGGAATAAACCATAGTCTTGTAGTAGTGTAATAAGCTCCTCAGTATCTGTCAAAAATATAATTATGACAAAATTTTTTGCCAAATTATCAGTATACCTTTATTAGGATTTTCATTGACAATATCATTCAAAATCCAGCAAAATGGAAATTGACAAAAAAATTGCTCTGTGGAAGTAGCATTAATACAACTATCATCTGGTGTAGATCGAAGTTTTGACATTATCATCTGGGTGACATAATCAGAGTTGTACAAATTAAGCCACAATTGTTCTAACTCAGTTTCAATTTTTGATAGTAACTTCAAATTAGAATATTTATCAATAACAGAGATTATCTTGGCAAAAATTGGAATGATGATATCATCAAATTTCCTCACAACTGCATTTTGAAATGTTCCAGCTTCTTGAAGCTTAGTCATATTCATAGATTCATCTAATATCCATTTCTGTTGAACATTTGTACCCTCTTTTAACTCTCTATCCTTGAGTATGCCCTTAATAAGATGAATGGTTTGTAAATGAAATGTAATTTTATCTAAAAAATCGAGTTAAAAACTAAAAGTACAATTAGATCTAACCTTTACTAAGTGGGAAAAGTATTGTTTGAGGAATTATTTGTGAAAGTTGGTTAACTTGATCAGGATTTGATGCAGCTTTTGATATTTGTAAATACATTCGCTTACATAGATTGATTCTTTGAGGCTCTGAATATGGTAGGAGTTGATAACTTTTGAATTGCTGACTGTCACTGACATCACTATCATCAATTGAAAGATCAGTAATGTCATGTTCATTATCATCATAATAAATGTCGCTCATAGAACACACTTCACCACTAAGGATCTGATTCAAAGGTACTGAATTCTCAGTAGAGAATATGGCATCAACATGATAGCATAGCCAAGGGCGTTCTTGAAAGCTTACAAAGTTTGACTTCAAACACTTCTTTGGTAGATGAACGAGGAAAACAAACCTAGTGTTCAACCCTCCTGAGTCAACAGCTTCTCTGAATTTGTCAGTCAGACAATACCGACAGCAAGAAATTAAATTTCCATTTTCATGAGCTCTTTCACATTCAAAAATGACACAATGTTCATGGGATTCACCCTTTCTTATCATCATACTACAATTCAATGAAAAGGTATGCACTACTATTTTACTTACTCAATGCTATTAATAAATTCTTGTTCGGTTTGAAATGCTTCTAAATGCATTCTAGTCATATTTCTCATATCCATTTCAATACGATTTGCTAATTCCTCAAATTCAGTTTGTGAGAGTGTTGGAGTATGAGTAGTCACCTAAAAATTAAAAAAGTTAATGTATGAAACTATACTGTTCTTTTACCTGTAATAGTATTTGATTACCAAAGAGGAATTCTATTAATGAGATCTGCAAGTGA